TTCTCAAGCTCATCGGTCGACGAACGGCCCGCAGAAGGATGAGCTGATCCATCAAGATGAGGCAGGGCATCGAACTTCCCACAAAACCGTGCCCAAAGTCGTGGAATCTCATCTGGGTGATTATGACATTTTACCAGCCAGAGAGAACACCCTTGACAGCGTGGGGGAGCCTCACACATACTCGACTTTGAGATGGTGGTACATGGAAATAGGATGTTGTTTTCTCGCCGTTGCAAGTCTCGTCGCTCAGGCAATCGTCCTGTGGCAGTACGATGGCAAGCCGCAAGATGCATGGCCAAGCACGATCCTGACCCTCAACGGTCTGATCGCGATTCTGTCTACCGTCTGCCGCGCGACCTTCATGATTGCTGTGGGTGCCATTCTCAGCCAGGCGAAATGGAATCATTTCTCTGGAAAGAAGGGTGGATACCATAGACTGGATGACTTTACGCTGATCGACGACGCCTCGAGAGGTTCATGGGGTAGCTTGCAGTTGATGTGGAGGTTCAAGGGAGCGTAGGTCTTGAATCGTATTGATTACACCAGAAATCTACCAATGCTGACAAGGATCTTAGGCACATTGCTTGCGTTGGAGCTGTGTTGACAATGTTGTCCCTTGCTTTGGGTTTCTTCTCCCAGCAACTGATCACTTTGAGGATAGACCAGGTTATGAGCAACACGCAAGGCGAAGCAGGTACCGTTGCCAGAAGTCAATGGGCAAGCACGGTGTCGGGATACTCAAACTCTTGTAAGCCGCTCTCTTCTAGAGTTGGAGACACAACTCTTCTATTCGTCGCATGATCATGACACTTAATGTTTTCCCAGGGAACCCCCTATCACCCACGAAACTTGCCATGTACACCGGATTCATGTCTACGGAAGTCAACTTGCCGCAAGTGACCTGCCCCACTGGTAACTGCACTTGGCCCATCGTTCCGACCGTCGGTGTCTGCGGCTCCTGTGTCGACCTAACATCGGAGATCAAAATGAACCGAAGCTCTTCTGCGAGTTGCATTGTGACTGCGCCTGACGGTGCGCGTCTTAGTGGCTACTGCGGCACAGGATCCGACTGGATGCCCGTGTTCAACATCAGCACTGGCTCGAACCGCACCTTCCAATCCACAGATCCTCGAATGATCAAGGCGGACGCGCCCAATCTGATTGCGCAGTTCAGCGGTCTCGGTATTCCTGGCGGGATGCCGGCGACGACCCCACTTGATGACTCCCGCGCGGCTGAGTGTGCTCTGTGGTATTGCCTCCAGGCGAGGAATATCAGCGTAGAGTCCGGACAGCTGAAGGACGAGATTGTCGATACCTGGAGTGAGGTGGATGAAGGCTCGACTTCCACCGGGAGAAATGTCACATTCGTGAACATCCCGGCCAACTTCAATACCGAGGCAGGCAAGAGCTACGGAATGGGTCCATTTCAGATGTACGCCATGAAAGCATACGCAAAGACAAACATTATAGGAAACGTCAGCGCCGATGGGACTTTGGGGATTGTCTTCACCTCGGCGTCTCCCTTTGCGGACGGAATGCACGCCAGTTTCGGGGACGTCGGCAGCTGGATGGAGAGACTTACAAGAAGCTTGACCAACGACGTACGCCTGAACAGTAACGACACTACAGGCAACGACGCTTTCAGAGGTACCGTGATGGCTACCCAGGTTGTCATTGTAGTGCGCTGGGCTTGGATCGTATACTCTGTCGCCCTGGTCGCTGTGTCGGTGATTTATCTCGTAGTTGAGGTTCTGCGAACGAAAAGGAAAGGGCTGCTGCCATGGAAGTCCGACGTACTTTTGCCAGTATGCATGAACATGGACGATGAAATCAGAGAGAAAGCTGCTGGCGGCATAGTTGAGCCTGGCGGCCTCAAGAGACTGGTCGGAGATGTTCCGGTTCAGCTCAAGGCTGACAGGACAGGCGTCATCCGGTTCGCGCAAGAGGTCAAGACCGATGGAACCCATTCGCCCTGAGGAAGCGCGAATGAGTGATTTGTTAGGTATACCTGACCCTGTTCTAGGGCTCGGTTTGAGGACACGATGCAGGCATGTCAAGTAATTGAGGTATGGAGTGCAATGATATCAAGAATTCATGATGGCAAGAATTCATGATGGAGATATGGCATGGAAGCTCCTACCAAGAGATGACTCTACAACGATCTAGCTAGCCGTACAGAAACCTCATCATGTCTTAGCATCTAGGACGTGCGATTCGTTCGCACTGACCTTGCTATGCATGAGCATCACTGAATCCTTGTCGCAGAACTCGATAACCTTCGTGACCTTGGAACCGTCCTCGTTGAAGTCAAAGAACCAACTGAATTCCAATTGAAGATTCTCTGAGCCGTCTTTGAACTTAATATCCGAAGAGGACGTAAGTGCCGCCTTTCGAGCTTCGGAGTCGACGACGAGGTTTGAAGTAGTAGTGGCCCCGACTATGAAGACGGCGATGTCCTTGGCGAACTGTGTTTGGTAGGCCGCGTTGTCGAGGATGAAATCGCCCGGTATGCCAAACGCTTTGGTCATGGAACGGGGGAGCAGTTGGCGGGTGCAGTCTGGGCTGACCTCGCGGTTGATGATTGAGGCGTCATTATGCTTTTCGCCGTCTGTGTATGCCTCGAAGAAGGACTTGATGGTCGCCTCGACTCTTTGTCGGAATGCCATATTTGAGGACTCGGTACAGCGATTTGCGTTGAATTGAGAGTGAAAAGGTGAAGGAGAATCACCTGCGAGTACCTTCGAATATCACTGATGTGTTGGCATCTTCTTATAATTATGCATTCCTGGCAGGTGTCTCAATGAACTCACAGGATTCAGACTCCTTTCATCTCACGTCAGCCTATTATTAGCTCCAGAACCATTGGCAGTCCACACACCCCGCGAAATGGTGATTAGCGTACTAATTACGCCTCTTTCTGCATTAGGCATGAGACACTCGGCATTTTATTCGAAGGCTGCATACGATGTTCCTTTGAGAACTTTTGTCAACCAAAGGCCATACGGTATACCCGGTAGGATTTTTGATCACTTGATATCAAGCCGCCTGCAATTACTGTTCAAGGAGAGTTAATAGCATGTTTTTCAGTTGGCGTATTGTTCGACACTCGCATAACAGGAATTCTGTCAGGATTGCTTACTTCTTCCCTGAAGCCGTCTAATCACGGGCCAGTAAGACCCATATGCATCACGTAAAGGCATGATGAATGGCCATATTCAACAGATATGGGTCAAGTGTCAAGTCAAATGACATAGTGACGTTGTGTAGCTGACCAAGTTTACTTTCGTACCAATAGGCTGTTTTCAGCGTCATCTTACTCCATTGGCGGATGATCCGATGCCGAGAGTCAACTTCGATGAGCTGTTCATGATAAGACAGTCCAGCGAACATGTTCCCTTATACTTATTACCTTAGTCTCAGTGAGATATGATGGCTAGGGTGACGTACAGCACAAAAGCGCTGTTGGATCTTTGCCAAACCTCGGGGTAAGAGATTGCGGCCAGTGGTATTCAATGATGCAACAATGGCTTTGATACGGGCCTGAAGGAAATGCCGAACTTCACTCAGAATATTAGTGCAGTGTTTGCCGGCCTCAATGGCTTTTGGGATCAGCCCGGACTGGATACAGATTGATGCGTACGTAACTTCGGCGCCCATAAGTCGTCTTGTTGCTTAACAACAGCGTAGCTCAAGGCTATGCCGAGTTCATCCTCTTTATTGGACCTGAGACTTTGCATAAGCGACTCAGTGAAATTGAATGCGGCAGGCAAAGTCACTACTGGGCTCGTCTTCCCAACTCAAGTTCATATTGTGAACTTGGGAGTTACGTCATGTAGCTCTGTCATTTACGTGCGTATGGCTTCGACTACAAAACGCCGACGAAAAGTTCAGGCTATATCATCATGGCCTGCAAGTGATAGATGTGATCGACCTAAAATTGCAATCCTCCATGCTTGCAGTGAGGTTTGCTACACCTACCACTACGTTAGTAATCGACACGTGGAGTGCAGGATACCTCTCGAATCTGCAAACATAAGACTAGATATTCTACTTGCGTTACTCACGGTTGGTTTCCACTTAGGCCGGTAGGTGCGCTATGATAAGCGAACATGAAGGCGAAACTAAAGATACCTATGTCCTGGCCGAATGTCTCGAATAGGCCAAGCATAGTAGAGTGAGCAGAATCTGTGCACAGCAATTGCCTGCTAGTGAGACCACATAGAGCAACGACAGTCGGGAATATGAACCATAGGAGGGAGAACGTTGTGTTTTATTTTCGATTTGGTAGATTGATCACTACCATGACAACTTTGGTAAAGGAGATCTCCGGCTATCCCCACAAGACAGTGTCGGACATCGGCCAAGACCGGCAGTCTGTCTCTCGGAAGGGAACCGACGTTCAATCATTTCGGCTTCTCTGCCCTTGATCTATCTCATCTATAAAAAGGGCACCCCGCGTCGTAAGAAACTAAGACTAAGGTCGAGTGTCCTTTAGAACGGCATTTTTTGTTCAAGCTCTCTTCCAGCCTACCTTATTGGCTGGTGCGTCTTATCAGCGATGTTCGGAGCTGGAAGCCGATGGTGGGTCCTGGCTACAAGCGGATCGGATGGCTTCCGAAGGGCGAATATTGTGATTAAGACAGTCTTGCCGCCTCTGTGCCATGTTACGTCGCGGATCTTTCTTTTTGACAAGCCAAGTGCTCCAAACATTCCATTTAAACTATCCTTTTGGGAAGCTACACAAATAATATAGCACTTTGTTGAAGATTCTTGACAAGATCATCGCATCATTCTTCAGCGCTCAATCTTATACTCAGTTGCTGCATCAAGTGGCATACATACATGACTTGCAGTAACCGGGCTACCAAACCGCATAGTAAAATGTCGAGTAGCAGCTACCGGGGGTCGTTATCGCCGACCCCAGACCCCTCATCCAAGGCAAGTTCGGCTCTTATCAGCCCCACACTTCCAATTGCCGCAGCGACCTCCATACATGAAGACTTTGCAAACTTACCGGTGAACTGAACGGGCAGCAGTCTCACAAGGTGTCAGGAGCCTCTTCTTCGAGCCGGAAGAGGAAAAGACGCATCAAAGACGAGGTCGAGGAAGAAGGCGCGATGCCTCAGCAAGCTGCCGCCAAAGCACGGTCCGCGAACGCGTCAGTCACCACCACCCTCAATTCGCCCGCCCTTCATTCACCCCCACCAAACTCCACCGCTGTGACGTGTTTGCCATGCTGACTGCCGGCTTAGATGCAACACATGCCGTAGGCGCAAGGTCAAGTGTTCGGGAGAGCAGCCTTGCAGGAATTGTGCACGAAACAACCTAGACTGTGAATTTGGCGATGGGAGAAAGAGATATTCAGAGGCGTGAGTCTGCTCCGAGGTCGGACTTCTCCAACTTGCTAAGCCAGTGAACAGATACGTCTCGGAATTGAGAGCCACCTTGACCCGATATGAGGACCAAATAAAGGGTAAGTTATCACGGCTGATCCCTTTCAGGCAATTGCAGGCAACTGCTTGCGGTAGGAAGAATCCGGTCTAATATCAAGCAGAGCTCGCCAGACAACCACGAGCACAACCTTCGCCACCCGCCCGGGGGGTCTCAACAGGGGCATCAAATCCGAGTCCACCAGGCATTGCACCCTTTGAGCCTACCGGTGAGGTACCGCCTCCGAGTTATGGTGCGTAGATCTCACCCAGACTGCAACTGGATCCTGAACCAAAACTGAAGCGAAAGGAACAGCATCCATAGAACGTGCTCCCGGCCCGCTCTTCGAGCAACGGTTGCGGAGTCTCTTCCACGAGAACAATGGCAAAGACCCAGACTCTCCGGAGAAGGATGCTCCGGAACACCTGGAGAACGAGGATCCGCGTGACCTGCCATTTACCCCTGAATGGACCTCAACAAATGAGTTGATCAAGGGCATCCCTCACCAGGCCTTCCCCAAAGAGGCCGAGTCTAATCGTCTCCTGAACCTCTTCAACTCCTACATGGGAGTAACACAGCACTTCTTAGACCAGCGGACATTCACAGACAACATGACGCTGCTTTTCAACAGCCAAGCATCTCGAGCTCGACAGATGGACACGCCCTGGTTCACACTGTACCTTCTCGTCATGGCCATGGGCAAACTTATGGAGGAGGATCCGCGCGAGGTTCGCGGACCCCCGGGAGCGTTCTGGTTTGCTGAAGCTATGAGGAGGCTCCCGCCACTTCACAGCATCAGCGAGTATGGCATAGTTGGGCTTGAGATTCTGTGTCTGGCGACGACATACCTGCAGTGGAACGACCGGAAAAATGATGCGTACTTTTTCGTAAGTCCCGATTCTTTCATTCTGGATGAGATGAAATACTAACAAGTTATAGGTGGGAACAACAGTTAGACTTGCCCTGACTCTGGGCTGCAACTTGCCATTTTCAGAGCAAAAGTGCCTACCATCAGAGAGAGCACACAGAATGCGGGTGTGGTGGACTGTCTACATGTTGGATCAGTAAGTCTACCACCCTAATCCACCAAGACTTCTAAGCTAATCGTCTATGCACAACTAGGCGCATATCGGCAGGCCTCGGGCGCCCAGCTTCCGTTGATGATAGGCACCTTTCGTTCGATCTCCCTGGCCCCTCTCCAGGGTTTGATTCTCCAGAGCCTCTCAATGTCAACGTCAAGATTGCCCGGACAACGGGAGAGATCATGTCATGTAAGTCCACTTTACAATATGTTCGTTTTGGTCGTCACTCGTATGGCCCGCAGCTGATCATCGTGATCAATAGCATTATATAGTCGAGGCGCACTATCGCAAGCCGATCTTGTCAGGAAGATGAGAAACTTGCTCCAATCACTACACGACATTGGCGGATCCATCCCGGCAGATCTTGCCATTGACTTCAGCAACAAGCAGTTTGAGGTCACCAGAGCTGGTGCATCACTATATCTGAGGTTATTTCAGGTAAGCACCAACTGCCGTTTCTCAATGGGCAAATCTTTTGGCTTTATCGAGGCAAACGGGTGCTGATACGACCCAAATTAGTCCATCATTCTCTGCATCAGACCAATTCTTCTTCAAAAGGTCAAAGACAAGGTTCAGAAAACACAGAAGCAGGCTGTGACCTCGGCAATCTCACAACTGTGCCTCCTGTGCAACGAGTCGGCTCTGAGAATTATCCGCATCCTCATGGCTATGCAAAGGCAAGAAGAAATTGGTAAGGGCTTGATTCTCCCCGGGTGGCAAATTTGAAGAGCGAATTACTAACAAAAGGAAGCGCCATTTGCATTCTTCGATCTGGATGCTGCCTTTTCAGCCGCCTTCGTCCTAATCATGCGCGGCTTCGCACACAAGCAGGATAGTCAAAAGCCGCCACCGCAAGAACTGTTCCAGGCCATTGATTTCTTGGAGTATCTGTCCTCTGCAGGAAACCAGGCGGCAGCGCAGCGTCTCAAGGATGTTCGGCAGTTTTCTGCACACGTGTGGGCCAATGTGGTAGCGTTCGATAAGGACCATGACTTGCAGATGGGAGATTCCGGGGCGTCCCATGGGGTACCCCAGGTGGGGAACACACCCGGGGCCGGACTACCGGAGCAGTCGGGACCTTCACCGGCCCAGATGCCCTTGACTACGCCGACGCCCAGTTCCTCTGTGCCGTCTTGGGAGGGAGAAATGTTTGGAGGACCTGCTGACACCTATGGATCAGACACGTTGTTCGGTCTGAACTTGGATGAGAATCTGGAACAAGCCTTTGGGCTGGAAGCGGCGGAGGGTATCTATAATAGTTTCAACGACCCTACTCTCCCCTTAACGGGAGTTGACCAGCTGGATTGGGCTGAGCTGGAAAAGATGATGGCACCGGGAGGGTATGGTTCATAGTCGCTACAAATAATGTTAAATGGAATCGAAACATTATCAATCAACGCAAATAACTCGGGAATTATCGTTCGCCAGTGACGTATGAATTGCTTCTGCGTTGAGACAGTGTCCGAAGTGTAACGTCTCCGTTCGACCGTGGTGGACGATCTGGGCGAGTGGGGCCAATCGGATGACGGCCGCCTCCGGTTCGGGTACCGAGCCGAGAATCTTCACCAAATTCCGCAATGATTCAGAACACCATCGGAATAGAGCCGAGCTTTCAATGATGCGCCATTAACCGTGAGAAGAGTACTTAATATCTGGCGATAGCCTCTTCGATATCACGAGTGACTATAGAGCCGTATTGTGAAGTTAAAACCGAACGTTGAATAGATCTGATTCAAATATCCAAGTAGAAATTTCACAATGGTTCAATCAACATTAGACAGCGTCTCCATCCTTGGCGCCGGCAACGAAGCTTCTCGCCGGATCCTCACCAAGGAAGCCGTCAACTTTCTCGCAATCCTGCACCGCAGTTTCGAGCCGACTCGCCAACACCTTCTCAGTCTCCGCCAACAACGTCAAATCGACACAGATAACGGACACCTGCCAGATTTCCTCCCTGAGACTAAGCACGTTCGCGATGATAAGAACTGGAGAGGCGCCCAGCCAGCGCCTGGTTTGGTAGATCGCAGAGTTGAAATTACCGGACCCACGGACAGGAAAATGGTCGTCAACGCGCTCAACTCTGATGTTTGGGCCTACATGGCTGATTTTGAAGGTGAGATAGGAAGCCCGTGAAACAGTCAGTTGTATTTTGACTTACACCGATCAGACTCAAATGGTCCTACATGGGACAACATGATTCAGGGCCAGGCCAATCTCTACGACGCCATCCGCCGGCAAGTTGACTTCAAGCTCGGCGAAAAAGAGTACAAGCTCAGAACTGATCGCACACTTCCGACTTTGATCGCCCGCACGCGCGGATGGCACCTGGACGAGAAACATTTCACCGTCGACGGGCAGCCCATGTCCGGCGCGCTGTTTGATTTTGGACTGTACTTTTTCCATAACGCCAAAGAGTTGATTTCCCGCGGCGCCGGCCCCTATTTCTACCTGCCCAAGATGGAGTCGCATCTCGAGGCGAGGTTATGGAACGACGTGTTCAACATGTCGCAGGACTACATCGGTATCTCACGAGGTACCGTCCGCGCTACCGTGTTGATCGAGACCATCAGCGCTGTTTTCGAAATGGACGAGGTTCGTATTACTCAATCATTACAAGAACCAGTCCCCCCACTAACATGCTCTAAGATCATCTACGAGCTCAGAGATCATAGCTCAGGCCTCAACTGCGGCAGATGGGACTACATCTTCACTTTTGTCAAGCGCTTCCGCAACCGACCTGGCTTCGTTCTCCCCGACCGCTCCGACGTAAGCATGACCGTCCCCTTCATGGACGCCTACGTCAAGCTCCTTATCAGCACATGCCACGCCCGCGGCGTCCACGCAATGGGCGGCATGGCGGCCCTCATCCCGCGCAAGGACGATCCGGCCGCGAACGCCCAAGCGATGGACAGCGTGCGCGCCGACAAGCTGCGCGAGGTCAAGGCCGGGCACGACGGTACCTGGGTTGCGCACCCGGCGCTTGCGTCGATTGCGTCGGAGATTTTCAACGAGCACATGCCTACCGCGAACCAGATCTTCAAGAGGCCCGAGGTGAAGGTCACGCGCGACGATTTGATCAACTCTGTTGTTCCCGGAAAGATTACCGACGAGGGTGTGAGGAAGAATCTGCATATTACTCTGGCGTACATGGAGGGTTGGCTTCGTGGTGTGGGCTGCAGTGCTATCAACTATCTCATGGTACGTTTCAACCGCTGCTTTCGGCCTCTCTTGGGACACAACTAACCAGACTTGCAGGAGGACGCCGCAACAGCTGAGGTATCGCGCTCACAACTGTGGTACTGGGTACACCACGGCGTCAGCACCGCTGAAGGCACAAAACTCGACAAGACAACAATGCTCAACGTCCTCGACGACGTCACAAAGGAGCTGCTCAAGTCTGCGCCGGCGAACAACAAGTTCGAGCTGGCGGCGAAATACCTGCGGCCGCAAGTTACGGGCGAGGACTACGCCGACTTCCTGACGACGTGAGTTACTACTGCTTCTGTATGAATGCCGTTCAACGCTAACAGCTCCATTCCAAGACTACTTTATGATGAGATTACTTCTGTTGGGCCGTCATGGAAGCTCTAGATCTTTCTCCAGCGATGCTTTTTCTATGAATAATGAAACCGGTTGAATGGCGTTGCCCTCTGCAATGTATGCTCCGAATGACTGAAATATGAGTTTCGGAGCACTTCTGAGCAAAATTAAAGGTTGCTACCACTTCTTCTCGCAAATCCAAGTCAAGTTGATTGCTAGAAATGGCAAAAATCGACTTGGGCCTGATTCGAACAGACGCTCCCGAAGGAACAAGATTTCTAGTCTTGCGCATTAGACCACTCTGCCACCAAGCCGTGATCTCAGATCCGCTGATGCGGGCTGATTGAGAGAGGCAGCCAGTTTCGCGACCTTGTATCCTGGTCGGCACCGACTGGAGGAACAGAAAATGGCCCTGCGACTGTAGCGTTGATTGCCACAATGTTCCAACACCCGAGATGTGACTTTGCCGTCATGTTAAATCAATGATCATGAAACTTACACAGATTTTAATTGGCTTTTCTTTTCCGTCCAAAGTAGCTGGATTGGGCCGTCTGAAGTCTGGAATGGCTTCTATCGTGCATGCATAGTCAAGGTACTCGTGTTCGAGCACTGCGGACACTTTGACTTCTTCAACGGGGCTTCGAGGAGGAAACTAAGTGTTGAAACCCGATGTTTGATTACAAATCCATAAGTAATAAGTTGAGAAGAATTCTCATAAAAGAATTGGCTCAATAAGCAGTAGGCATTATTCAGAAAGTAAGGCGGCCAGGGCAAAAGTACTGAAAGTGAGTAAGTCGAGATCAAGTCGAGAAACGCTTCTGAAAGCCCCTGTCAAATCACCACGTGGTAGACCTTAAATGTGGAGACCAAAAACCCTACCGACTGAGTTCTTGAGAACCGCGTTGGGCTTAATTCGTGACACTCACTTACCGACTCCCAGTCTTATGCGACAATCGACTGGGCTCTTTACGAGCCCTCAATCGATATCAGCATGGCCTCCTCTTCATCCCAGTATTACAGAAAGTTTCAGAAGCTGGAAAGAACCGTCGCTAAAGCGCACCAACTAGGCTTCGGCTACGATTCGGACAATGGCCTCTGATGTTTGGGGATTATTGGTGCATGGAAGTCGAACAAGGAGTCGTCTTTTTCGGGAGTTTTTTCTACATCTGAAGAGCCATCTACGTCGGGTAACTCTTGCACATCGGGAGACTCATCTTCAGAGTCTGGGGAGTCATCTTCAGATGACGACATGACCTAAGGAACCTGCAGGTTTCAAGTTCCAATGAGGAGAGCTGGGTTATGATGCACTTTTCTTTGGTGGATTCATTTCATGGATGTTGGTGTACTATGCCCAATTCTGAAGCCTCGGTCAAGACGGGGTTATGGCCTAAAATGGCACTTATGAGGCGTTAAATATGGTGCTCTTCTAACCTAATTGTCGTTTCGTCTGGCTCTAGTGTGCAACCTCATGCTCGGGTTTGATTATCTCTTCTCGATGTTACGAGTGTGGTAGCTTAGGCGTCGATCCTAAGCATTCAAGAAGAAGGATATGAGGATTTATGTCATAGTATTTCAAGCAGATCCTGTTCATATATGTAGTAGGTTAAACTGATCGAAACTTACTAAATACAGATTTCGCATACCGTTGGGTGATGTCAACAGCCCTTCTAGGTCATTTGTTCCCTTTCCTGGAGAGTAAATTTGTCATTCCGACGATTCTTGACTTCGTGAGTACATGTAAATTGGACAAGACCCTGATGTCTTATTAAGTCGAAAAGCCACGCATTAAAAAATTCGAAAAACTATGTAACCTGGCTGGTAAAACCTTCCGTTCAAGGACCAGAAGGGTAGTGAGAACCAATACCCATGTCCCTTGCGGCTGGTAAGGAAAATAGAAAACCAATGTTTCAACGTCTTTACATTCTGTCTCAAAAATCGCACCGTTGACTGCAGCTAGCAATCAACGTCGTTTCTACCCTACGATACATCCAGCCGTGCGCGTTCCTGCAATGCTGCATTCATACACGATTTCCAACTAAGCTACTCCCACTCCGCCGCTCCCCTTCAGAAAAATGCGCAACCAAGACTTGAAGAAACCGGCGAAATGCGTCCTTCCCTACAGGAAAGGTGATGAGCATCAAGACACATACGAGCTTATGCCCCTTTCAAGTCCGCCTCCAGATCCGAATCATCACAGGTTCGCGGAGGTTCCCATAAAGATCAAGTCCAAACGCGCCAGACTCGTGAGAAGGCTTCAAAAGAAACCACAATTATACAAACTTGTGCCCATCCCAGATTCGACTTTTCACCAATTCGCGAAGTTACCTGACAAGATCAAGTCCAAGATTTGGCGCGAGTTTTACTTGGAACCTAGATACTACATCGCAGAGCTTCATCCAAAAGACGATGAGATAGAAGGCAAGGATTACGACTGGGGCCTCGAACCTTGCGATGAGGAATTGTCCGGCGAAGAGCCTTGCGAAGAGGAAACGGCCGAAGAGGATGCTTCCAAGAAGATGACCCCGGAGGGCAATTCTTCAAAGAGCAGCACTCCACAATCCGACGCCCTACATATCAATACTCCCAAGAGGCAACCATATGACGAGTATCTATCCGATGAGTATAGTTCCGAAGAGGAATCTCCGGAGGATGAAGCTGCTGATGATGGAGAAGCTGAGGATGAAACCGCAGAGAATGGGACGGTCGAGAATGGGGCTATCAGGGACAGAGCCATCGATGATCCATTCGACGAGCTAGAATTCGACCAAGTAGATGATGAGTCAGACAACGTGGAGGGCCGCAACTCCACTGATTCGCTCATCCGGCCATCAAGCAACGGCTCAAACTCATTCAATAAAGAAAACGAGGAAACGGAGAAACCAACACATCGTACGGTATTTTGGATTCTGTCCAGACAGGATGCAGAGTACTCGGATGGCTACTACGACTCCATCGACCTGAAGATCGATTCTTTGTCGAGATCCGTGGCCCAAAGCGTCAGGTCGCCGTTCTGGTTTCCAGCATTCACCAAGGACGAGCTTGAGGAAGGCGAGGAAGGCCCCTGGATGGCGATCCCTCCACCGAAAGATTTGGCATCAAAAATGGGAGAGAATGTTACCATCAACTGGGACATCGATTTTGTCCACGTCAAGGTGCGCTTCCGCACATGTGTCACAGAAAGCATCGGCTAGATGCAAAACATCCAGAATATCGTCGTCGACACGAAGCCTTTCGTAGCGCGACGCCCGCACCATGTCACAAACACATGTTTCTAGATGTGGACTAATAAAGCAACACTCTCAAACCTCAAAACTATCCGACAAATCGCCGCGCCAGAGCACCAAGTTCCCTTCTGGCATTCAGAGTAGTGTCACTACCAGATAAGATATCTTCTCCGTTTCGCGCCCAGAACTCCTCCCCAGTAGTAGTGAACTAAGTAATTTAGGTAAAATCGCTTTACTCCGTTACTTACCCTTACCTAGCCGCTTTATATATTCTTATATAATATTAAAAATAAGTTAGGTAAGCTAGGTAATTATTTATATAATATAGGCTGGTACTTATTATTAGTTTATTAATATAAGCGCTATATACTTAGCGCTAAATATATTAAAAAGTACGTATATAACTCTATAAATAAATATAATTCGTTAACTGCTATTTTTACTTCTAGTAGAGAACGACCTAAATAAGTAAATAAAAAAGACTATAAGTAGATACTTAATAGCTAGGCTATTATTAACTCGATTATATAAATATTTTTAAAATAAGTACTATTACTACTTATATTTATAAGAGTTTTTACTTTTATCGGATTATTTATAATATACTAAACCCTAAGAGAGATTATCGTAATAGCTAAGGCTAAGGGATATAAAAGAGGGGCTTATTAAGAACGAGATAATTAGACTAAGTTAAAGAAGTACGGCCCGAATATTATAATAATATATAGTACTATTTTAAACCGATACGTTACGTAAATTTAATATAAGATTATTTTTATAACCCTATATAACTAATAAGAGTTTCTATTATACCTAAGTAGTACTAAGATAAGCTTTATAATAAGGTAATTAAATTAAGAGTAATAGTACCCAATTTTTAAACTACTTACGAGTACGTACTACGGCCTCACGCTCCTATACCTACTTTAACTAAAACTAAGGACTTTTTCTGCTTTTATATTAACTCTAATAATAATAAAATTATAAAAAATAAAAGATTATTAGTTAAGTCGATAGTCGTAAGAGCGGAGGATTTCTTCTAAGTATTTAGCTTTGTTATAGGAACGGAGGTAGATAAAAAATAAAATAATAAGGTTTATTATATTAGCCTCCTTTTTAAGTAGTACTTTATTCTTTTTATTACTAATTATATAGTAATAAATAAGGAATATTCTTACGAAAAACGGAATTCTTAAAGATATTAAAAAATAAAAGTATAATCTTAGACTTATAGTTTTTAATAGAATTATTTAGGCTATTTAAACAGATTTATCTATTTTTAATAAAAGAGCTAGAATATAAAACTATTTCTTTTTAATACTTTACGTTACGAGTAGGGGAAGAATAGGTACTTTTTTTATTACTAAACTATTTTATAAAGTTAGACCCCCCTCTTTACTAATTTCTAAAAGCTTATAAGCTATAAAATATCGAGATTATTTAAGCACGATAACTAACTAGTAATAGCTATTACTATTTTTAGCGATTTAATTAAAGATTCGTAAAAAATAATCGTAACCTAGAAAATTTAAAGTATATAACTTTAGTATAAGAGCTAGACGTAATAAATAGCTAATTTATTTAATAAATTTAGAACCCCTAAGTAGAACTACCCCGTTCTATAATATAATATAGTAGCGCTATTAATAGTCCTAGTATTAGTAAATTAAGCTCTTTTTAGATACGAGAGCTTAGAAAATCTCTAAAATTAGGATATATTAAGTAGCAATACTTTCTATATTTTTTAATAAAAAGAAGATATTTTTAATCTCTTAATTATCCGGGGCTTTGCTTAGGACGGAATAGATCTTAAAAAACCTTTAACTTTAGTAGTTTTTTATAAAAACTTTTAGTCCTTATTAAAATTAGTAAACTACGTTAGTATTACTCCTTTAATATACTAGATACGTCGCTTTTTAAGAAAATAAATTAATAGTAAGTATACTTAAGTTATTCTTAATACTTTAATTAACTAAATATAGAGTAATATACTAAGGTTAAAAAATCGTAATATATTAACTAGTCGGACTTAAAAATCTTTAGAGCTAGCTATATAGCTAATTACTCTTTAGTAAATAGCTTAAGTGCTTTTTTAAGTAAGAAAGTAGATTATATTATAAACGATTATTTTTAGGGCCTTAAGAAGTTTTACGAAGTAAGTGCGCTAACTATTCTACTTATTAAAATAGAAAAAGACTTATATAAAAAAGAGGAGGTTATAATTTTAGAATAGAGGATTTTAATAATAGATAATATTATTATTAAAATAAACCTTATTAAATCGTTACGAAGCTTTTAGCGCTAATTTAAAACTAAGGCTTTTATAAAATATTATTAATTTTAAGTTTATAAGTACCGAGATTAGAAAACTTTAATAAAAAGAAAAGTCGAGCTGAGTTACTTAGATAATATTATTAACTACCTTATCGCTTTTATCCCTAAACTAGGTCGAACTATAAGAATAATAGTTTTAGGCAAAGAATATATAAAAGAGGCTATTTAAAACCTCTTTATACTTATATCTAACAATTTTACTATCTTATATTACCTTAAAGAAGGACTAATTTAGGGCTAATACCGCTTTTATAATATTAGTATAAAAAACTTATAAAAAGAAATCTAATCTCTATATTTTAGTTAACTAAATACGGATAGCGAGCTAAGGCATCGAAGTAATTATATATATTAATACTATAAGAAGTAGCTAGTTATTAAGTAATAAGTCTTATAAACTTTTTTATAATACTATTTTTTTTATTTTAAGTAGTTTATTCTAAAAAATAAATAGAGCGAGTACTATTCTACTTATTTAAAACCTCTTTTAAAACTATATAAATTATAAGAATAATAGCGGACGCTTCTTCGTCTTACTAACTATTCTTAATATTTTACTATAAATTAAAAAAATCTTACTAACTAATTCTAAAGTTAAATACGAAATATAGACGTTATTTAGTATATTAAAATTAAGGAGCTCAGTAAAAAATATTTAGCGTCTTATCCGCTCTATAACAAGTCCTTATAAAATAAGGAATTTCTTAACTATTACCTTACTAATTTATATAAAATTCAAGTTAGTTCTCTTAAAAAAAAGTAGTAAAAGCAAAAAATCCCGTCTCCTAAGTTACTAAATAATAGCTTAGTTACTAAGTTAAGTTAGACTAAGCATACTTATAATAAAAATAAAATTAAACTTATAAATATATTTTTTAATAATATACTTATTTCTAAAGGCTCTATTACTTAGTATTCTAATATAAATAATAAAGCCGAATTAAAATCTTATATATATCTAGCGGATATAAGTATAGTAACTTTATTAAATAACTTTATAAACTCGTACGTAAAGTTCCCACTCTCGCTTATACCTCTTTTTATTTAGAACTAGTCTATTTTTAATAAAGAGGTTATAAATTAATATTTAATATTATATCTATTTTCTATAATATTATTAAAACGTACCTTTATAAACGTTATAACTAAAATATTATATAAAAAAATTCGGCCTTATAAAGTTCGTATTATTATTTATCTAAGCGAGCTTATAACTAGTATACGTACTTCTATATTTATATATATATTTAAAGAGTTAGTAATCGGACTTAATATTTTAAAAGTTTTACTAAATTTTATACCTAACTATTTATTATATAGTCCTAAAGACTTAAAAAACGAATCCCTAGACGTTAGATTTATAATAAAAAGAACGAACCCTATACTAAACGCTCTTTAAAATAAAGAGACGTTTATAATAAATTATATATTAAGAAGATAGTATAAGAACTTATTTTTCTTACGATAGCTAAATAAGTTTTATAACTAAGAGCCCTATAAAAATATTCTTAATTAGGACCTTATTAAGACTTTCGAAATAAACTATAATAGTTTTAATATAGGGGTAAATATTTTAAAAAGTTATTTTAAGAGTAATAAACTAGAGTTTCGGCTTTATTAAGTTAGTAAACTAAATAATAAAGATACGTAAATAAGAGAAAATAAAATTAGCCCTCGTTTAGTTTGCTACTATAAGCTAGAAAAAAAATAGAAAAAAAAGAAAAAGCAAACTCTAAAATAGCCGGATAATCTTATATATAATAAAATATTACTTTATTAGTAAATTAACCGCCCGTAGTATAAAGTACGAAAATTTATAATACTTACTAACTTTTTAAAACTTACCTATATATAAAAAAGTCCGCTCAAAGCTAAATACTTTTATTAATAAGTCTACTATAATACTATACCCTTTATTTAACGCGGTTAGTTAGGTAAAGGATTCTAATTATTAAAACAAATTCTATATCTAAAATAATAATATTATAGTATTTTCTTTTTACTATTCCCTTCTATTACATATCTAACTATAACTAGGGTCTCGTTACTTATATAACTAAAAATAAACTCTTATTATTACCCTAATTAAACGAATACGAAAGCTTTTTTAAAAATCGTATTTATTATATTAATAAGCTCGAACTATTTTATATACCCTTTTTATATATATATATAAACGTACTAAAATACCCGTATATATTTATTAACTTTTAATAAAAATACTATTCTAGCTTCTTATCCTAATTAGAATTAGGGGTTACTCCTATAAATTTAAATAGATACGTTTTTAAAAAGCTAGCTCGTTTAGTATCTAATTACGTAACTACTATATATAGGAAAAAGAACTCTTATTTAGTAATATTTAAAAATTTGTTTATAATAGTAATAAGTAATAAGAAAATCCTTTAAAAAAGATATTCTAATACCTTTATTTCTCTTATTATAAAAGTATTAAGCTCCTTAACTAATAATTTTCCGTATTTTATAGTAACCATAACGACAACGTCTATTATATTAAGATTATATATTTAAAAATAGCTAAGAGTAGCGAAGTATATACTTAGTAATATATTTACTAACTAACTAATATATAATTATTATTAAAGATTATCGAGCTCTAGTTTTTTTTTTTT